TGCCCGATTTTGATGTAATTTTGGGTATGGACTTCCTAGGAAGATATGGAGTAGAGATGACTGTCGGAAAAAGAAGCGAGGTTTAACCTCGATTGTGGAGATAAGTTTAGTTTTGGAGAAGGCCAACAGTTAAGCATGCTGATTAGTAGTGTGAAAGCCGAAGATGTTGAGAAAGGGGTGTTCGGGGTATATTGCCCATGTAGTGCAGAGTGGTGATGTTCCACAATTAGAGATTCAGGAGGTCCAGTAGTTCGGACTTTCTAGATGTGTTTCCGGAAGAGTTACCGGGTTTGCCTCAAGAGAGGAGGTAGAATTTAGTATCGAACTAGCACCGGGACAGCACCAATATCTAAAGCCCCTTATCGAATGGCCCCAGCTGAGCTCCAAGAATTAAAGAAGCAACTCCAAGAGCTTTTAGATAAGCTTTATCCGACCGAGTCATTCTCCTTGGGAGCTCCAATCCTGTTTGTGAAAAAGAAGGATGGATCACTAAGGATGTGTATTGTTATAGGGAGCGAATAAAGTTCAGTGAAGAATAAGCCCCGCTACCCCGGATAGATGACCTTTTTGATCAGTTGAAAGGAGCGGCAGTGTTCTCCAAAATTGATTTGAGGTCCGGTGTACATCAGGTAAGAGTGGTTGAGCAAGATGTGGCTAAAACTGCCTTTCGTACAAGATATGGGCATTATGAATTTGTAGTGATGCCTTTTGGTTTGACTAATCCCCCCAGCAGTTTTTATGGACCTGATGAACAGGTAGTTCATGAGTATTTGGATCAGTTCATTGTGTCTTCATCGACATTCTGATTTACTCAAAGTCAAGAGAAGACATGAGAAAACACTTGAGATTATATTGCAACGGCTGAGAGAAAAGAAGTTTGTGCTAAATTTTCCAAGTGTGAGTTTTGGCTGAACCAAGTGATATTCCTGGTCATACCGTATCAAAGGAAGGGATTTCGTAGATCGTAGTAAAGTGCACAATCCTGGAATGGCAGAAGCCGAGAACAGTGAAAGAAATCAGGAGTTTCCTAGGCTTAGCAGCTACTACCGGCATTTGTAGCGGGATTCGCCCAGTTGGCTAAACCGTTGACAGCTCTTACTAAGCAGAAATCTCCTTTGTCTGGTCAGCAGCATGTGAAAAAGCTTTCGAGAGTTGAAGAAGAGGTTAACATCACTCCTTACTAGTGTTACCACAGGAGTTGTAGATTATGACATTTATACAGACGCCTCTTTGCAGGGACTTGGTGCTGTGTTAATGCAGTTGGGTAGTTATAGCTTTGCTCTCGTCAATTGAAGGAGTACGAACCAGACCCCTACGCTGACTTGAATTGGCAGCCGTGGTCTTTGCCTTAAAGATTTGGAGGCATTACCTTTATGTGTGAAGAGTAATATCTACACGTCATAAGAGTCTAAAGTACTTCTTCACCCAAAAGAGTTGAATATGAGGCAGAGATGGTTTAGAGCTGGTCAAGGATTATGATTGTGAGATCAAATATCAACCGGGGAAAGCCAATGTGGTACCGATGCCTTGAGTAGAAAGCCCATGTTTTCCGGCTTACCAGACAAAAGAGTTAATAGAAGAATTGTCTAAGGAACAGATTGAGGTGGTTTCGGGAAGAATTGCCAGCCTTGTGGTACAGTCCTCTTTACTAGAGGAAATTAGAGAAAAGCAAATGGCGATGAGTGGTGTCAGAAAATAGTTCACAAGTGCATGAGGGCAAGACATCTGAGTTCTTGTGAGAGATGGTGTCCTCTATTTTCGAAATCGGTTATGTATCCCTCCAATTGAGGAGTAAAACAGAAAATTCTTATGGAGGCTCATGACACACCGTACACCGCTCATCCGGGAGCAACCAAGATGTATCAGGATATTAAGAAAGGCTTTTGGTGGTCGGGTATGAAGAAAGACATGCAGAGTTTGGGTAAGGTCTAACTTGCCAGCAGGTGAAGCAGAACACCAACGGCCGTCAGGTTTGCTTCAACCATTGAGTATTCCGGATTGGAAATGGGAGAGCATTTCATGGATTTTTATCACGGGTCTTCCCAGAGTGCAGAAAGGTGTGTAATGCAATAGGGGTGATTGTGGATAGGTTAACCAAGTCAGCCCATTTTCTCCCAGTAAAGGAAATTACCACACAGATCAGTGGGCTCAGTTTACCTCAAGGAGATAGAGATTGCATGGTGTGCCCAAGACTATAGTGTCAGATAGAGATCCAATTTGTTTTAGCCTTCTGGACAAGTTTACAGAGAGTTGGGTACCCGTTTAGCATTCAGACTGCCTATCATCCTCAGACAGATGGCCAAACTGAGAGGACGAATCAGGTGCTCGAGGATATGTTTGAGAGCCTGTTGCATGGATTATAGAGTATCCTGGCATGAGATGTTACCCTTAGTGGAATTTGCCTACAACAACAGTTATCAGTCTACAATTAGAATGGCGCCTTACGAGCTTTGTATGGTAGACGGTGTAGGTCTCCGCTTCATTGGGATGAAGTAGGCGAAAGATGAGTTGAGTATTGCTCTTGGGCCAGAATGACTCAAAACTAGTAGACGATGTGAATTAATCAGAAATAGAATGAAGCAAGCCCAAGAGGGACAAGAGTTATGCCGACTTGAGAAAGAGGTAGAATTCCAAGTGGGCGACAAAGTGTTTCTGAAAGTTCCCCCCTACAAGCGAGTATGCGCTTCGGAAGCAAAGGGATTAGCACCGAGGTATGTAGGTCCTTTTGAATCTTACAACGATAGGAAAAGTGGCTTACAGATTAAACTACCACCTAGTATGGACGGGTGCATAATGTCTTCCATGTCCGATGCTACGAAGTATGTAAGTGATCCCCTCCACATCCTAAGCGTAGAAGACGTTGAAGTAGCAGAGAATCTAGTATATGAAAACGTCCAGTTCAGATTTTATCGAAGGGTTTAAAGAACTTCGGAACAAGAGTGTTCCGCTAGTGAAGGTCCTTTGGAGGAATCACAAAGTGGAAGAGGCCACTTGGGAAGTAGAACGAGACATGCAGAACGTTTCCCAGAGTTATTTGCAGAATTTCGGGACGAAATTCTTTTAAGGGGGGGAGAATTGTACGCCCCGCTTGAGGTACGTTGTTATTGTTTCCTCTTTTGCCCTTATCGAGTTGGTTTTTGTTATATTATTTGTTTGAGTGTTGTGTTGAATGTTTGCCCTGAAAATTGGATGAAAACAGAAGAAGTTCAGTCTGCCGTGCTTCGCCGGGCGAAGAATAACTTCTAGGTGGATTTCAAACGTGACTCTTCATTCTTCTCCTCTCAACTTCTCTTTTCTTTTGATCAAGGATTTTCAAGGGATTTTTGAAGGATTTGGGGTAGAAAAGCAACCTAAGGCTTCCTAAGGTAAGGATTTCTTCTTAAGTTGTGTGTGTTTGGGAGTTTTAACCCATATTGAAGTTTGAGGGTTTTCATTCTTTGGTTAAGATAAGAGGAGAAGTCAAGCTAAAAGTGAAAAAGAATTGTGTAGTCTCTCCTTAACAAGTAAGTAAAACCCAACCCAAGTTGAGATTTATGAATTCTTGATTAGGGTTTTGATAGAAATAGTATGTATGTGATGTGCATGTAATATAGCATGTATGAAGGATTAAATAGAGATTTCTATGCTTTGTGATTGTTTATACCTTGCAATTGAGAAATGGGTTGTTGGTTTGGCAAGGTAGTGAGATGGAATTTAAGGGATATTATGGATCCCCTTTTTGGAAGTGTTTTCTATGGCAGGTTTTGTGGCTTTGTGAAGGGGTTTTTCCCCATTTGGATGGTTAAGAAAGTTTTAGAAATGGCTATGATAGAGTTTTATAGTGCACATGAGTTGTTTGATGAAATGCCTAATAGAGGTTGAGTGAGAAATGAACCTTAATTCTTGCAACATTGCTGTTGCATCTCATAAGTGCATTGGTGAAGATGAACCATCCATAGGCACTAGTTTACATGGAAAAGTGACCTAAGAAAGTGTAAGGGAATGGTTTTGCAATTACCCTATGAGTAGAGAGCTTAGTGGGTAAAAGTACTCTAAGGGTAGAGAGCATTGAAAAAACTACAATAAGAATGAATAGAAGAGTAGTATAGTTGGGATGTGCTTTGTGATCATCACCCGACCGTTATGGGAATCGGATTGATGCTTGGTGATCATCATCCGAATAGCCCTTAGAGTGATGGGTCGATGCTTTGTGATCGTCACCCGATGAGTAGTAGAAATGGGTAGATGCTTTGTGACCGCTACCCGGTAGTGATAGATAAGTAGGTTGATGCTTTGTGATCATCATCCGACATTTAGTAGAAACGGGTGATGCTTTGTGACCATCACCCGATAGTGACTAGAGACGGGTAATGCTTGGTGATCGTTACCCAAAATTCATGAGGAACGGGTGCGCTAGGTGATCTCCACCGATAGTATAGAAAGACCGAGTTGTGCTTGTGATCTCTCACTCGGTAGTCACTAAGAACGGGTTGGTACTGTGTGAATTCCACCCGATAGCCATAAGAGTGAGATGGTTGCGGTGTGAACGCCATCCGCCGTACCTCCGGTAAGATGAGGCCATGATGTTATTGGAAACAGAATAGAAATCAGAGATAGCATAAGGAAAGATTAAGAGTTATTCATACGGGGACAGACAGATAGAGAGTTTTACTTACTGAGCATTATTTTGTGCTCACCCCTTATTTTCCTTTGTGGATGCAGGTTCTAGATGATGTTGCGGTCGGAGGGGCGTCGGCAAGCAATGAGGAATAGCTAAACTGTTTCCCCTTTTTGTCTTTTAAAATACATTTTTGTAAACTACTCTTTATGTATAAGACACATGAATTGATGAAAAGGAAACTTTGGGTGGTCCCAACTTTTCTATTGTTATTATGCATGCATTGTACAGTTTTCAGTAGGTGTTACAAAAATAAGTAAATAAAAACCAAACGGAATCGAAATCTTGGGTTGCCTCCCAAAAAGTGCTTGTTTAAAGTCTGAAGCTCGACTCCTTTCTGTCGTCAATTAGGATTTTGAAGAAGAATTGAAACCCTCTCGTCTTCATTCCCATTTTCAATATCAGGTTTCAATATTTGGCCGTTGACTTTGAATGTTCCCTTTGTTGGGTGGTGAAGCTCTATCGCCCCATATGGAAACGCGCGATGAATTATGAATAGGCCATACCATCTTGATCGCAATTTTCCCTGGAAAAGTCATAGTCTTGAGTTAAACAATAACACTTTGTCGCCCTCCTTGAATTCCTTGTTCACAATATGTTTGTCGTGCCACTGCTTAGTCTTTTCTTTGTAGATTCAGGCATTCTCATATGCATTATTGCGAAACTCTTCCATCTCATTGAGTTGCAGTACTCATTTTGCTCTTGCAACTTGTAGATCAAAGTTAAGAAACTTCACTGCCCAATATGACTTGTGTTCTAACTCTACTGGCAAGTGACAAGCTTTTCCATAAACCATCCTATAGGGCGACATTCTTATTGGTGTTTTGAATGCCGTCCTATATGCCCATAATGCATCATCAAACTTGATTGCCCAATCCTTTCAAGAGGTGCTTACTGTCTTTTCCAAGATTCGTTTCAGCTCCCTATTAGATACTTCTACTTGGCCACTAGTTTGAGGGTGATATGGGGTAGCCACTCGATGTGTAACCCCATACTTGCTTAACAATGTTGCGAATTGGCGATTGCAAAAGTGAGAACCACCATCACTGATAATGGCTCTTGGCGTGCCAAACCTTGAAAAGATATTATTCTTCACGAACTTGATAACTACGCGAGCATTGTTTGTTGGCAACGCAGCAGCTTCCACCCACTTCGAAACATAATCTACAGCAACCAAAATAAAACGGTTAGAAAATGAGGATGGAAAAGGTCCCATAAAATCTATCCCCCATAGATAAAATAATTCTACTTCTAGGATATTATTTAAAGGCATGACATTTCTCCTTGATATGTTCCCAACCCGTTGACACTCATAACAACTCATAACAAAATGAAAAGCATCTTTAAAAAGAGTTGGCCAGAAAAATCCTGATTGAAGAACTTTAGCGGCGGTCTTTGTCGAACCAAAATGACCACCAACTTCTATTGAATGACAATGACGAAGAATATTCGTCATCTCTTCTTCTAGCACACATCTTCTTATCATTTGATCGGCGCAATGCTTGTATAAAAATGGATCCTCCCAAAAGTAGTACTTTAAATCTGCAAAAAAATTCTCCCATCTTTGGGAGTTCATTCCAGGAGGTAATACTTTCTACGCCAAATAGTTAGCAATATCTGCAAACCATGGCCCTTCTTGAATAGCAAACAATTGCTCATTCGAGAAGTATTTGTTGATTGGCTTTTCTTCCTCTCGAACTTCTTCATTGGACTCTAATCGGGATAAATGGTTAGCCACTTGATTTTCCGTTCCTTTATTGTCCTTAATCTTCAAGTCAAATTCCTGTAAAAGCAATACCCATCGCAATAATCTTGGCTTGGAATCCCGTTTTGCTAGGAGGTACTTCAATGTAGCATGGTCAGTGTACACAATAACCTTGGTACCTAGCAAATAAGAACGAAATTTATCAATAGAGAATACTATTGCTAAAAATTATTTTTTAGTGGTAGCATAATTTAACTGTGGTCCCGTTAAAGTCTTGCTGGCATAATAAATCACATGCAAAACCTTACCTTTCCGCTGTCCTAAAACAGCCCCTAAAGCGTAGTCACTTGCATCACACATGAGTTCAAAAGGTAGTTCCCAATCAGGCGCAACAATAATAGCAGCAGAAAGTAATTTTGCTTTTAAACACTTAAATGCATCTAAACACTCTTGACTAAAATTAAAAGGAACATCCTTAGCTAATAAATCACAGAGAGGTTTAGATATTTTAGAGAAATCCTGTATGAATCTCCTATAAAAACCCGCATGCCCAAGGAAACTTCTAACAACCTTCATTGAGTTTGGAGGTGGTAGTTTCTCAATAACTTCAATCTTTGCTCGATCCACCTCAATTCCATTCGCAGATATCCGTCGACCTAACACAATCCCATCTCGTACCATGAAATGGCATTTTTCCCAATTTAGCACCAAGTTAGTGTCAACACATCTTTGCAAAACATTAGATAAGTTAGTTAAACAATCATCAAAAGAATCTCCAAAAACAGAAAAATCGTCCATGAAAACTTCAATGGACTTCTCAACCATATCAGAGAATATTGAGATCATGCAACGTTGAAAAGTTGCAAGAGCGTTGCACAAGCCAAAAGGCATTCTTCGATAGCCGAATGTTTCGTATGGGCACGTGAAAGTCGTTTTCTCTTGATCTTCTGGCGCTATAGCAATTTGATTGTAACCTGAGTATCTGTCTAGGAAACTATAGAACTCATGGCCAGCTAACCTCTCCAACATTTGATCGATGAATGGCAATGGAAAATGGTCCTTATGAGTCACGGAATTCAGTTTGCGATAGTCAATACACACTCTCCATCCCGTGACTGTTCGTGTTGGAATCAACTCGTTGTTATCATTACGGACCACTGTCATTCCTCCCTTCTTTGGCACTACTTGGACTGGACTTACGTATGCACTATCCGAAATTGGATATATAATTCCGGTATCTAAGAGCTTCAACATCTCATTCTTGACCACTTCTTGAATTGATGGATTCAATCTTCTTTGTGGTTGGACGGTAGGCTTATAACTTTCCTCCATTAGGATCTTGTGCGTGCAAATTGAAGGACTGATACCTTTTATATCCGCAATTGTCCATCCAATGGCCTTCTTGTATTTTCTCAATATGCGCAGCAACTTTTCTTCCTCTACAACACTCAAAGAAGCATTAATAATGACTAGAAAAAATTTACCATTTTCTAAAAATGCATACCTTAAATGAGATGGTAGTTGCTTAAGCTCAAGTGTAGGGGCCTTTGTGATTGGTGAAGTTGACTGAGACACCATGGCTCTAATTTCTCTTATCGAATTTGCTTCAGGACGAACCAAGGGTGGTAGAGCATTTAAGTATCTTAAACACTCTCTTATCTCTTCACTATCAACTTCATCCTCCTGATCTGTAGAATTCATCAAAAAATTCTCTAAAGGAAAAATGGGGTAGTCCTCTTCAAAATTTTGCTCCACTATGGTGTCGAGAACAGCAATCTTAAAACATGAGTCTATTTCAGATGGACGCTTCATAGATTTAAACACATCAAATTCTACTTGCTCATCTTCTACCCTTAAGATTAATTTCCCTTGATGGACATCTATCAATGTTCTACTTGTGGCTAGAAAAGGTCGTCTTAAAATTAAAGGTATTTCCCTATCTTCCTCCATGTCTAACACTAAGCTTCCTGTAAATGGAAAACGGCATTAAATTTATACTTGCCCCTAAATCACATAACACTTTATCAAAATAACAACTACCAAAATACAAGGGATAGTAAAACTCCCTAGATCTCGTAGTTTAGGTGGTAGTTTTTTTTGAATCAGCGCGCTGCATTCCTCCGTTAGTATAACTTTCTCGTGTTCCTCGATTTTTCTCTTGTGCATGAGGATCTTTTTCAAAAACTTCGCATATTTTGGTATTTGTTCTAGCATATCAACAAAAGGGATATTAATATGTAAACTTCGAAACATGTTAATAAACTTACCGAATTGCTTATCAAGCTTCTGATTCTTCAACCATTATGGGTATGGAAGGGTTGCCTGGCTCGAAGAAGGTTTCTGCTTAGATGCACGCTCGCCGCGGCCACCAGATTCATCGCCACGATGATTAGTTGAAAGTTCTAACGAATTGTAAGCAGGATCACGCTCGCCGTGGCCACCAGTGTCATTGCCGCGACGATCATCCTTGTTTCGGACGAGCCTCTCCACATTCTCACGATCACTGCGGCGAGGCATGTCATCGCCGAGGCGATCGTTCTTCTGCTCATCCTTCAAGTCTTGTTCTTGCCTCTGTTTTTCACCCTTTGAATTTTCCAAAATTCGTCCACTCCTCAAGGTGATTGCATGCGCTTGTTCCTTGGGATTTTTCTCTGTATCGCTCGGCAAAACTCCTTGAACTCTTTCCACTAATATGTTGTGAATTTGCCCAATTTGAGTCTCAAGGTTCCTAATAGAGGCTTATTGATTTTGAACCAGGACGCCAGTCTTCTCAAACTTCTTGCTTGTCTCTTCAATGAACTTAGTCAACACATTCTCTAAATTAGATTTTGGCTCTTGAGGTTGAAAAACAAGATATTGTTTTTGCTCATTGTTGTTGCTCCATGAAAAGTTCGGGTGTTTCCTCCATGCTGGATTATATGTGTTGGAATATGGATTCCCTTGCCCCCTTTGGAATTTATTGACGTAATTGGCTTACTCAGGCTAAGCAAATGGGTTCCCTTCTTGACAATCCTTTGATGAATGATTTCCTGCACAAAGTTCACATGTTAGAGAAGAAGATTCAATTGCATTTATTTTTAACACATTACCTAATTGCTTCTGGATGTTTGAAAGTTGAGCAGCAAATGCAGTGTAACTGTCAACTTCGTGCACTCCCGCTGATTTCCTTGTTGAAGTTCTCTCTGAAGTTCTCATATAGTTATTGTTCGCCATCACCTCAATCAGATTGTATACTTCCTTTGGTGTTTTATTGTTCAAGGCTCCCCCACTTGCAGCATAAATCATAGCTTGAATAGTTGGTAGCAACCCTTGGTAGAACGTTTGCACTTGCGACCAGATTGGTAAACCATGGTGACGACACCTTTGTAAGAGATCCTTATACCTTTCCCATGCTTCATACAATGACTCCGAATCTTATTGGTAAAAGTTGGTAATCTCACTCCTCAGCTTGGCAGGTGGAAAATATTTAGTGAAGAACGCTTGAGCTAACTCGTTCCATGTCGTGATGCTCTTAGATGGCAGAGAAATCAACCAAGCCTTAGCTTTATCCCGAAAGGAGAATGCGAAAAGCCTTAGCCTAATTGTGTCATCAGATACTCCATTATGCCTGAATGTGTCGCATAACTCTAGAATATCTACGATATGTAGGTTGGGATCATCATTAGGTAACCCAGTGAATTGGACTGACTGCTGAATCATTTGAATAATTGCTGGCTTAATCTCAAAATTATTCGCTTGAACGGGTGGTCTCTTGATGCTAGAATAGCACCCATTAATAGTAGGACTAGAGTAGTCCTTCAATGCTCTTTGAACCACTGCCGCTCCACCCATTGCATTTCCTCCTAAAGTATCCTCATTCACATTCTCTTGATTTCCAATATTGGGATTCACATTTCCTGTGTTAGCCATTGATTTTTCAGAGTCAGTTTGCCTCTTTTCTTTCCTCAACTGTTTAGCGGTTCTCTCGATCTCAAAATCTAGTGGATTAAGATCACCACCACCTCTTGAACGTAAACTCTCCAGATTCTAGCTGAAAACAACAAACAAAACAAACAAAAATAAAAATTAATTAGTAAACAAAAATAAAACAAATCAAATTAGCAACTAAATATTTCGTATTGATATTGGTAAAATAAAATAGTTTCCCGGCAACGGCACCAAAAACTTGACAGGCTATTCGCAAGTATACGAAATCGTGCAAGTAGTAAAACTCGAGTAAAGAAGTGTCGAATCCAAAGAGAACTATCTACCAAGTATCAAACTAGTCTATTTTATTGCTATTTGATGAAACAGAATTTTATGAATGAATTTAATGAAAAGGAAAACAAATTAAAAACTAAACAAATCAGAATTTTATAAAAGCTATGGTGTAAAGATCAATATAGCTAAACCGTAGGGCATGGATTTCACACCAATTTAATCCTATGTATTGACGATTATTACTATCCTAATTAAGCTTATTCTAAAGGCCAAACTCCTTAATATTCCCCTAATTTTCTCTCGAACAATTAGTGAATTAACCCTTAAACAACAACCCAAAATATCTCTAAGTTGGATTTAAAAGCTAAGAGATCATTAAGTTCGATGAAATTTACCAGAGCCTCATAGATTGCGGTAACCTATCTCTAGCGTTTGCTCAATCTATGGTTTTATTACCTTAGACAAATCAGGTTTCATCTCTCGATCTCAACCCAACTCATGATATCATTCAACCCTAGGATCCTTAAGAATTGAAAGCATTACACACAATAATAAAACTTAGAATTAATGCTCAATAAGAAATCAATAAAGATAACGTCAACACATATTCATAAATTGGGCTACATCTTTAGCCCTAGAAAAGAAATTTAGTTCATAGTTGCAATAATAAAAACCCTCATTGTATTCAATAACATGAGTTCAAGAAAGAAAAATATAAACACTTCTCTAATTGGTGAACGAGAGCTTCAAGGATCCCTATCTCCAAACTAGTAGCCGTCCTTTTCTCTCTCTCCAAAAACTCTCTTCAAACTTCTTAAAGACCCTTATTTATAGTCCTAGGGTTTTGATCTTACTTAGGAAAAGAGTAAATGCCTTAGCCCATTCAGATTCGGATTAGGATAATGCATTAACCTAACAAGCTCGTGACCCATCACCACGATGGTAAAAACAGTCACTGTGGCAATCGTTCTTTCTATCCAAGGTATCCGTGATCTTTAGAATTCGGTAAAGTCATCAACACAGCTTTCCAACGCCACCAGAATCATTGAATTTTGATTTCTACAGCTCAAGTTATGACAGAAACATCGAAGCATGCTCATCTTGAAGGAATTCCAGATTTTACGTTATATCTTCGACGCGTCACAACTTTCTCGTTTCAACTCTAATTCTTGTACCGTTTGTTCCTACGCGTCATGAATTCCATCGACATCATTCTTTTCCCTTCATATATTTGTTTGAGCCTGAAAACACTCAAAATACACCCATGATCCCATAAAAGGTATTTATGAAAGAATTAATTCAAATTCCACACTTTAAACACATTTTTCCATAAATAATCCAATTAAATCACTAAAAAAATATAAACTTTCAAGCTCTTATCACCTTGCTCATTTCGCTGAGCCTTCAACTGATCCAAAGCTCGCTGTAGCTCCTTAATTTGAGGCAGCGGAGCTACCTGGGGATCGCTTTCCGCAATGTGAGTTCGACCCTCACGGTTACGGTTGAGGAAAGATCATAGGTCGGATTTCTTCTTGTCTCGGTCGAAAATCCTGGCCAATCTCGACACACGCTGGCTAGAGCCGTGTGATGACGTTGAATGGTCTGGGGAACCTTCCTGACCTTCGCGGTGGTGCGAACCGACCCGCGGACGGTGGGAACTTCCCGCGCAACAACGATCGAAGTCGTCACTTTGGCGATAATGGGAATCTCCCTGCCTTGTACTTTTTTGGGAGTGCTCGTGTGACGTGGCATGGGACGGCTTAGGCCGCGACATGTCACCGAGTCTCAATGCCACGGGTATTCTACCCGGGGCACGATTGGTGTTCGCTGGCTCCTCAGAGCCTCTAGGTCCGCTATGTGCCACCTGCTTTCCTTTTCTTTAACGCGCTGCAGTGCGTGCGTTATGGGCTTTTGCCCTTTTTCGCGCTTTCATGCGACCTGCAAGCGTTTTTGGTGGTAGCACCGCTTTATTTGATTCTGGTGGTACGACCCGATCCAACCAGTCCAACCTTTGGTTGACCGTTTGGAGAGTATTGTTGAACCTCTCCAGGTAGCTCTTGACGGCTGGATCAAGCCGTGAGCTTGAAGGGATATCCCCCATGATATTTTGCGGGGCCAAGGGCACCTCGGGAGAAGTGTCCTCTTGTACCTGGGGGATCTCTTCATCACCATGATTGGTTCACTCAAATTCAAATCTGCGAACCATTTGCTGTAGTGGGACAAATTAGTCAGAGATTCTCCTGATGAAGAACAAGTACTAAATCAGACCCTCCTTCTAGCGCCAAATTGTTGATGCTTGATTTTGACACCAACTAATCGCACGTAGGAAATGCTGAGCGGACTCAGAGATCACACATGTATAAGGGGGTATTGGGTTGAGTAAGAGATGAAGAATAATGTTTAAAGTGGTTTGGATGCTTAAACAAACGAATCCTACGTCCACTGATATTGTATTAATGAGTGAAATCAGGTCGCGTTCAACGAGCTGATTTATAGCTTAAGAAATACAATAGGGAGAGAGAGAGAATGTATGATATTTCAGAGAAAAATTCGCTAATCCCACAAACGGGAAAGGAGCCCTCTATTTATAATGGGATGAATTAATGTAATGATTACTAAATCTGTGAGTGGGGCAGATGCCGTGCAAATCCTCCTCTGCGTCCCATTACTCACCTGCCCGAATGATTTCCTCGACTTGTGCAGGGATTGGAAACGTGGACCTTTTCTAGCCTCTCACCAACTTGGCGCATACCCACTGCATTGGCAGGAGCATGCTGCTCACGTCATCACACGACGTGGCTGCATCTGAGTGGTTATAGAACCTTCTCAAGCTCTAACCACCCATGCTAACAAAGCTCGGCGTCAGCCCTACTTTCTTAGGCAAAACAGGAATACATAAATTTCTTGCATTTACCTTATTAATGCCATCTTTGCCTGGGCAACTTGTTTATAGTGTTATTAATAGATTAATCTCTGTGCACAGACATAAAATATAACAATTCTCCGATTTTCATTACAGAACAGTAATATCTTTTGTAATAAACTTTAAGTAGACAAATGCTTCGAGAAACTTTCATGAATTGCTGTGTGTTTCTATTTTATTTCTTTCAATTCTGCGTATCGAAGTCTCTTGTGAATGCTGTTTCTGCCTTTTATGAGTAAAATTCTAATTAGGTGAGCGAGTAATGTTTCCCACCATCTGTAGAGAAACACAGGGCTGCTCTGCTGGAACCTGAGAAAATTATAATTGTTTTCATCAGAAAAAATTGAGTGACGAAGGACATAATTACAAAGCTATATATTGATGGAGTACTTACAAAGTGGCCAGATCCAAGAATCCAATAGAAAAAGAAATTCTTATATGAACTAACAAATCCTTTAGTTGTTGAATCATCACTTCCACAGTATAAAGGAGAACGCTCCAAGCTTAAAAATTCTTTCAACCCTTCCCACCTGAATTTTAGAATCAGTTATAAGCAACAGAACTACCAAAAATCGAACACACAAGATTAATTGGAGAAGAGAGTAATACTTGAGCTTCTGAATCCAGGCTTCTACTCCTTTTGTTGAGCATATCACATCAAGCTATCATAAATATCAACCAAAATTCAGTTGTTGGAGGTCAAAACATCTATTATTAATCAAAGTTTTCATGTCAAAAATTCAAACTCTTACCTGTCCATTGTATATCGTTACATTGATGCCCTTGGCTAGGAGCTCGTCCACCTGTTAAATCACAGAAGTTAAAGGCTGAGTGTTAATTAATTACTTTCCACAACTCAGACAATGTCTATACAAAACAAATTTTATCACCTCATTGATTCTTGGTTTCATAAAATTTCCAGTCATGGCTGAAAAAACTGAATATACTTGCTCCTCCCATCTGCAAGAGAGTGGTTAATGATCCACGGAGTCAGCCAAAGTGTTAACAACTTATACAAGCTCTTCTTCGTGGTTCAAGCAGCAGGAACTTACGTTACATTTTCAGGAATAATCTTTAACTTCTTTTTGATAGGCCCGTTCATTAATTTATAAAGGTCAACAGGCTGAGCTCCAGCGTCAGCTGTTGAAAATTTATTGTTGATAAGATATTTAGAATACTTATCTACTCCAAGTCCTTTCGATTCCGCTGTTGTTATTCTGAAAAAGGGGTCATTCCCAGCATCAAGCAAGAAGTTATAGAAGTCCTGCAAACTCCAATTATCACTATATTGCTAAAAATTCTGTAAGCCTTGTATTCGAAAGTGTGTGCAGATATGCATGAATTGATTTGTAGTGAGATAAAGAACCATACCACATTACTGTGATCCAAAATAACACCCTCGAGTTCACTCCATGTTGTTGTTGCATCTTCGTATTTACCTGCTGCTAGTTGCCGCTTAATCTTTAGAGCTAACCTGTTCTTGCAAATGGATTACGTTAACTTAATTTGAGTTTGCCTTTTTCGCAAACATTAATCAGAAAAAATTAAATTCTAAATCTGAACCTGTTCGATTCATTCAAGCCTTTGTTGTCCATTCGTGACAGGTCTTTTAGAAGTGGTGCCCATGAAAACTGGATTAGTCATTCGGTGTAAGAAATTTTAATGGGAAAATCAAACTTAGTTTTAGATGTACAGATATTTGGCACAGAGGAATTTTCTAATAATGAAATCTCATACCACAAAATCTTCGGGAGAAATCCAGGTATTACCCAAAGCAACTCCTGCATTTTGACACATGCAATAACATAATCAATATTTACTTCAATACGAAGATAAGTACTTCATAACATGCTATTATAAATGTCTGCAGATGGAGGTAATTATGTAACAACATAATGTCAGTTACCCCCTAGTTGAAGCTTCAATTCTCCAGCTTCCATGGCTCTTACAGTTGATACCCCAAGAGTAGCAGCAAATTTTCCTCCATATGACTCTGCAAAAATGTATAAAGGACTTTTCTGAAGGGTCTCATTTCCATTGAAGAGCACCTTCAACAAGGTAGTTAAGTCCGTGGCAGCAGCCTCATCGGTTCTAACGAGCAAGTTCTTGTCATCGCCATCGATGTAACTAAATCCTGTTCCCACTGGACTATCCTAAATTCCATTAAAGTACAGAAAAAAGTTTACTAAAGAAGAAAGAGAAAAAAAAAAAAAAAATTGAAGTTACTGAACATTGTACCACAAATAAAAGATCTGCTTTCTTAAGCCATGTAGAATTCCGGGGTTGCAAATAGCCATCTAATGGTCCTATTTCTATGAAATTTCCAAGCCCAACACCAGAGACTCCCTAAATTTAGATATAAAAATCAAGTCAGATTAAACAAACATAACTACATTGCGAAAAATCAAATTCTCGTGTCTATAAAATATTTACTCACAGGACCTCCTTGGATCCACAGTAATGTTGGCCATGGCTTGGATGGATCTTCAATTCTGTATGGACTCTTATAAAGCCACCAAAACAGGTGACCCTCTGCATTGAAAAAGTAAACATTAAAGCATTAACAATAACATTAGCATAGTTTTAAAAATGTTCACATACTTGGTCGAACTTCAACATATCCCCATTGTTCAGAACCGTCATCGGTTCCTGCGCCGAATGCGAGATATCCATGGAGCAAACTAGAAGAGAACAACAAAAAGAGAAAGGGTAGCAAGTTTTTCTCCATGGGAACACTCTCTGTGATCCAATGAAAATGCCTGGAAGAGTATATATAATATGAAGATAAACTGGCATAAGAAATTTCACCACTTTGATTGTCACTATCTGATAAATAAATGGCTGTGACAATTACACGCAATGAGAAGATTACAGGATTACTTGTTTGCATTAGTTTGAGAAAATGTCAAAAGATAAGTAAATTTTTTTCTTGTTTATAGATAGAATAAACAGAACAAATAGAGAAATGCAACCAAATGAAAGCGGATTACAATTTATAGTGAACCAGATTAATGAAACGTTGATTTAACTAGAGTAGTTTAGTTGAGTAAGTATTTGATAGTTACTTAAAGGAGTAAAAACCTCTGGGCTTGTAATATTTTCACTACTATAAATAATTCAGTTTTGTTTTTTCTTAAATTTTCTTTTAAAATTTACATCTTATATCGCCTTCCTATTTCATCAACCTCCTTTTCTGTAATGTTATTAACAATTCTAACAACTCTTTTGAAGGGGTAAGATCCAGAATTTGAAATTAATGTCTCTGACAATGGCAATAGTGTAATAAGATTTCGGTGTATTAAAAATTCCAGTGAAAGAAGCTTTGAAATGATATTTTAGAGAGAAGATAACTTATAAATATGCACTAGAGATTCATTTAAAGCAAGTGCATCTTGAAGTTAAGTGAGTGTTGACAGATTATTTGTAAGTATACGAAATTAGGTAAGTAATAAAACTCAAATAAATGAGTGTCAAATCCTAAGAAAACCACTACTACCAAGTACCAAAATAATCTATCTTGTTACTATTTGATTAATTAGATTCCTTAAGAAAGAATTTAATGAAAAATAAAACAAACTAAAAACTAAACAAAAGCAAAATTTTATTAATACTTTGATAAAAAATCAAGATGACTAAACCTAGGACACAGATTTCACACCAATTTAATTCTATGCATTGACAATTATTGCTAACCTAATTAAGCTTATTCTGAAGGCCAAATTCCCTGATATTTTGATGATTTTCTCTCGAACAATTACCAAATTAACCCTTAATTAACAACCCAAAATATCTCTAAAGTGGATTTACAAGTTAAAAGATCATTAAGTTTTATGAAATTTACCAGAGCCTCATAGATTGCGGTAACCTATCTCTAACGTTCACTCAATCTGTGGTTTTATTACCTTAGACTAATTAAGTTTCATCTCTTAGATCTTGACCTAACCCATGATGTCATTCAATTGGGCCCTTCAGAATTGAAAGCATTAAGTGCAATAATAAAACTTAATAAAAATTAACAACAAATAATTCAATGCATATTCATAAAATTGGGCTGCATCTCAGCCCTAAAAAAGAATTTAGTTTATACTTTCAATACTAAAAACAAACATTGTATTGAATAACATGAGTACAAGAAAGAAAATAGAAAAATTTCTTTAATTGGTGAACCCAAAACTCCAAGAATTCTGATCTCCAAAGAGTCGCTGATCTTCTCTCTTTTTTCTTAATCTCCCTAAAAACCAATTAAAGACCCTCATTTATAGTGCTAGGGTTTGGAGGTTAATTAGACAAGAATTAAGTGCCTAAGTCAAGTTAGATTTGGACTAGGAAAATAAAACAGTCCATCAGGCCCGCATTCCATCACTTCAGCGACAGAAATGGTCATAACGACAATCGTTCTTTTTGTTCCATGAATCTGGAATATTCAGAATTTAATAAAGTCATCAACACAAACTTTGTAGCCCTCTGAATAAGCTTTCCAACGCCACAAGAATTATCCAATTCCCATTTTTACAGCTTAAGTTATGATCAAAATATTGAAGCATGCTCATCTTGAAGAATTTTCAGGTTTTAAGTCTCATCTTTAACGCATTATAACTTCCTCATTTCAACTCTGATTCTTGCACCATTTGTTCGTACTCTTCACAAAGTCCATCAAGATCATTCTTCTTCATTCAAATATCATTTATAACTTGAAAATACTCAAAATACACCTGTGGTCTCATAAAAGATATTTATGAAGTAATTAACTCAAATTTTGTAGTTTAAACAAATTTTCTCACAAATAATTCAATTGAATCACTAATAAACACACATTTTCAAGCTCTTATTAAATGTGTAAGAGCTATTGAAATAGAGTGTTTAGTGAGTAAACATTTATAGTGAAACAGTGTAAAAGTAAAGTGAGTTTTACTTTAAATTAATGAAATTGTGCTCGAATTCTAATAGTTGCGGTTTTGAGCGTCTTATGTACATAAATTTTTGGTCTCAGAATCTCTTTGGAGCTGCGACATAGTAAAAAACAAAGGCGGATGACAATTACTAGGAAACAAATTCCAGGAAATGACCATGAAAACACACACAAAGAGAAGATTACAGAATTGGTTTTGTCTTCACTAGTTTGAGAAATTTGTCGGAGACAGGAAGGAGATACAACAATTACGTCAATTATTATAGAATAAGAGAATAAAAAGTTCATCTTTTGATACATTAAATTTGGTTAATTTATATTAAACTTTTCTATTTAATTTTGGAACTCAAAAGAATTTGTGTGGAGATTAAATAATACCACTTGCCTTTGAAACTTTCAAATATCAATCCCAAAAGTCCAATCTTGTGAGCCCAAATAAACTCATTTGTACCAAGTTCCTAAAGCCCATTCTTGCCAAATGGTGTTATACAAGTTTTGTGCTGTGCGGACCTATGGACCCAACACGACCCATTCGTGCGATGTCTCTCAATCCGTGCTAAATTTATTGATTACTGATAAGCTCAACAATTAACAAGCTCGTCCAAACAAAAAAGCTCAAATCAATACAGCCGAAAAACAAAAATGGCGACTCAACAGTTGATAGCAGAGCACCAAGAAGGAGCCGAGATCCACCATGGCGCCAATCTTTGCAAGCAAAAATGTCAGGAATTTCTCCAAGAACTCAACCTTCCTAAAGGTCTTCTCCCACTCAACGACCTCACCGAGATGGGTTATAACCGCGCCACTGGTTTCGTTTGGCTCAAGCAAAATAAACGTTACGAACACAAGTTCCATGCCATCGGACGCACCGTTGCCTACGAAACCAAATTAACGGCGTTTGCTGAGAACCGTCGGATGCGTAAAATTAGTGGAATTAAAAGCAGTGCGCTGTTCATGTGGGTGAAGATTGGTGAAATGTCCATAGATGATCCTAGTTCTGGGAAGGTGAAGTTCACTAGCGCAGCTGGTCTCTCCCTGTCCTTCCCAATCTCTGCGTTCGAGATAGAAGAGAAGGACCACAAGTAATAATTTGAAACTATGGGGGTCGATAGGAAATTTCAATAAAAATAATTTGTGTTTTCTTGATTGTGATTTAGTTCTGTGAGCATGAATGGGCAAGAGAGCATTTAATTATCTTGGGTGTATGATTAAAATAAGTGGCATTATTATAGTTGGTCCGACGTAAATAAATCCTTGGCGTTGAGTTTTTTTTCCAAGTTTATATTCCCTGTGTCTAATGTAATCTACCCCAATATAAAATATAAATATAACAATTCTCCAAATCTCAGTTACGGATTAGTAATATGTTTTGTGATAGATAATAAAGCTGAGAAATTCTTCGGGAAATTTTCACGAATCGCTGNAATACAACCAATTATAAGGTATACTATCAAAACAGCTTAGAATCCAAGTCCTAAAATGTAAAATCTGAAGGAGGCATTACTTGACATCTTCTCTAAAATCTTTAGCATCCTCGTATGAAGCAACCCGCCGATAAATAGTCTGGTAGAACAGGGAACCCGACGACAATGAATCAGTAAAACTTGGATATGCTATATCCAGATATGTAAAGTGAACAATGAAAATTAAAAAGAAAAAGAAAAAATTGACCGGATACCTGACCGATGCCAACAACACCAATAAATTGCAACGTCTTCTCCCACTCTGAGACAAAATTATTTATGGTCAGTTGGTACACAAAGAAAACTGAGAAATGATTTCAAATGCAAACCCCACTGATGATACAAGCTTACAGCAGATTGTGCCCCATCCAACCCTCCACTCCATAAAGAAGCAATAAATACATATGTGGGAGAATGCTGCCTCCTTAACTAATTAACTACTAGATTATGTTAGTCAAGACAGGTGCATACGGGCATACAAGCTATAGCACATCTGACGAGTGCAGACATGCTCGAAAACCTTTTCCTTCCTAGTATTTCTATTCATCCTGTAAAATGGTTTCAAAATGCTCCGAATATTTACAAGACATCAGTGTCGAGCTCAAATCTTGCTTTCAGAGAATCTCTGAAGCAGCCAGATGCAAGCAACTTAATTTAACAATTGGAAAGAAAATTTTTTATAATGTTGGTTGGCAACCAGACAGTGATGGCTTGGTAACATCCTCCATGTAAGCTAAAGTTCAATAAGGAAACGTTCCAATCCATCAACCTCTTTTCAATCCTGAATGTAATTTACAAATCTGAAGAAAGAAATTATACAGACCTAATAGCGCATATAATGCTGCAACAGCTCCCTGCGCATAAGATACATGCATTTATTAGTGAAAGATACACTTAAAAATTACACTGTAACCCAGTAATTATTTCCCCATTATGTATTTGCGACTGCGTTGAACCAGATAACTAAAATAACTAATGCCTGTGTAATAAATACCTCATTTAGTACGGTCAGTGCCGTCTCAACTCTCAGCTCCTTAATTCGGAGACCCTCTTTTATCCAAGACTGAAAACCGCCTTGGACCATGTAGGGTCTCTGTCATAAGAACAACACCAAACAATTAGTAGTAGATAATATTATAGTTTTCGATGATAAATAGCTTAGTTTGCAAATGGATTCAGCGGATACCACATTCAATAACAAGAAATATAATAATTTTTTAAGCTTAATTGCCTTAATTAGGCAATCTGAATTTAAATTTGATCTAGTATTTAAGCGTCAAAAATTCCAGTTACAAGCGTCTTCCATATAGAGAGGCTGTGGTAACCTATGTCACCATGATACGCTTTCCTTAATTAGTTTTCACCAGTTGTACATATATACACTTCCTTATTTAGTCAGAATATGTATAATTTTGGTATAAACAAATTTAATGGCTGTAATTTAGGCAGATTTTCTGCTGTAATTCAGGTTTGATTTTAGCCTTCTATATTGCACATTTGTGCCTATATAATGAGAAGAAATCCTCACTAAGAGGACATTGAATCCAAATGACATGGTATCAGAGCTAGGTTCCTAAGTTACAAACCTTTCTCGTGTGGGTTTTCTGTTTTTTTCTTCTCGGTGTTCTTGGTTACGTTGGGCTTCCTCTTGGGTGCTGTTGGCGTTGTTTTTGGGACTTCTTGGTATTTTCGTCACTGTCTGAGTGCTTCTTGGAGTTTTTCGACGCATTCTGGGTGTGCTTTCTTGGTGGCGCATCTTTGGTCCTGAGGTTGTCGGCAGTTTTTGGTGGTGTGTTGCGTTTGTCAGCAGTTTGTGGTGGTTCCTTGGTGGTGGTCGATCTCTTCTGGGGTGGTTTGGGGTTTCAATATTTTTGGGTATTGATTGTTGAAGTTTTTGGCCAGGTATCGTTCCAGTTTTCCTTTCTGAAATTGTTTGGTTGATACTGTTTGGGATTACTCTTGGGCTGGTTATTGGCTATTTTTTTTGTTAGTGTTTAATTCGGCTATCATGTCTTCTGATTTTATTGCGGTGAAATTCACGGGTAAGAACTATTCTGCCTGGGAATTTCAATTTCGTTTATTTGTTATGGGGAAAGAGTTATGGGGTCATATTGATGGGAGTGATAAGGCTCCTACGGATGTTTCTAAACTAGCTTAGTGGCAAACCAAAGATGCTCGGGTGATGACATGGATTTTAGGATCAGTGGATCCTATTATTGTTCTTAATCTAAGGCCATATAAGACTGCAAAATCTATGTGGGAATACTTAAAAAAAGTCTATAATCAAGACAATATTGCTCGACGATCTCAATTAGAGTACAAGATTTCTAGTTATACTCAGGGTGATCTCTCCATTCAGGATTTTTTTTTGGATTTAATAATATCTGGGGAGAATTTACTGACATTATTTATGCCAAGGTACCAGAAGATTCTCTCTCAGTTGTGCAGGAAATTCATGCGCAAAGCAAGCGAGATCAATTTTTAATGAAGTTACGACCTGAATTTGAAGCCACTCGCTCTAATTTGATGAATCGCAATCCCGTGCCATCTTTGGATATCTGTTTTGGGGAGTTACTTTGTGAGGAGCAACGACTTACCACCCATGCCACTTATCAGCACGACAAAATGATATCCAATGCAGTGGCTTATGCTGCTCAAGGAAAAGGCAAGGGCCGAGACATGCAGAACGTTCAATGCTTCAACTGCAAGGAATATGGGCATATTGCTGCCAACTGTACACGGAAATTTTGCAACTACTGTAAGAAGCTGGGGCACATTATTAAGAAGTGTCCTACTCGTCCCCAGAATCGTCAGGCCAATGCTTATCAGGCTACTATGGATTCCACTCCTTCTGCTACTCCTAGTGCTTTCTCTGCTCTTACTCCTGAGAAGGTACAACAGATGATTATTTTCGGATTTTCAGCCTTAGGACTGCAAGGTAACGGTTTGCTTTCTCCCTCATGGATTATTGATTCAGGTGCATCTAATCACATGACTAGTTCTTCTGATATTCTTGGCAATGTTCGAACTTATACTGGATCGACACATATTCAGATTGCTAATGGTTGTCAGTACATACTCATGCTATTGAGGATGTTGATTCAACTATTAGAGATGTTTTTGTATCTCCTCAACTTTCTACCAGTCTTATTTCAGTCGGGCAATTGGTTGATAATAACTGTGATGTTCATTTTTCTCGTGATGGTTGTCTTGTGCAGGATCAGGTGTCGGGCAAGATACTTGCGAAGGGGCCTAAAGTTGGACGTTTATTTCCTATGCATTTTTCCATTCCTGCTGTTATTTCATTTGCTTGTAATGCTGTGAACAACAAGTGTGAAGTATGGCACAAACGGTTGGGTCATCCTAATTCTGCTATTTTATCTCATATAATAAACTCTGGTTTGTTGGGTAATAAAGATCAATTTTCTTTTCATCTCTCTTTTGATTGTTCCACATGCAAATTAGGTAAAAGTAAGTCTCTTTCTTTTCCTTCTCATGGTAGTCATGCTAACCGCTGTTTTGATTTAATTCATAGTGATGTGTGGGGAATTTCTCCGGTTATCTCCCATGCAAATTATAAATACTTTGTTACATTCATAGATGATTATATAAAGTATACCTGGATCTATTTTCTTCGTGCTAAATCTGAGGTCTTATCTGTTTTTCAACAATTCACTGCTTATGTTGAGACTCAATTTTCTTCTGGTATTAAAATTCTGAGGTCTGATTCTGGGGGTGAATACATGTCTCGTGAGTTTCATGATTTTCTCACACAAAAAGGCATTGTCTCTCAGCGTTCTTGTCCATATACACCTCAGCAAAATGGTGTTGCTGAATGTAAAAATAGACAATTGTTGGATGTTGTTCGTACTCTTTTGCTTCAATCATCTGTTCCTCCTAAATTCTGGGTTGAAGCTTTATCTACGGCTGTTTATTTAATTAATAGATTGCCATCCAGTGTCTTGAATTATGAAACTCCTTATTTTCGTCTTTATAATCAGCACCCTAAATACTTTGACATGCATACTTTTGGTTGTGTTTGTTTTGTTCATTTGCCTTCTCATGAACGACATAAATTATCTGAGATGTGCATTTATGGGTTATAGTACTTCACACAAAGGCTATGTTTGCTATGATCCATGCTCTAACCGATTTCGTATTTCTTGTCATGTTGTGTTCTTTGAAAATCAATCATTCTTTCCTTATCATGATAAGTTTTTGCCTGAGATACATGTTTTGCCTCATTTTGATGACTTGCCTCCTTCTATTGACCGATTCAAATCTGGACTTGTATATGAAAGACAACAATCTGCTTTGCCCCTTCTTGAGCCTAGCCCGCCATCTGAACCTGTTCAAACTGAATCATCTACGGGTGATCCGAATACTATCCCAGTTCCTCGTCGCTTGACCAGAGTGTCTCGTCCGCCAGACTGGTATGGTTTCTCTGCTACCTCTCTCCATGTTACTCTATCTAATATTCCCATTCCATCCGGTTATTCTAAGGCAGCTAAACATGACTATTGGCGTGAGGCAATGGCCGAAGAACTTCAGGCTCTTCAGGATAATCATACATGGGATGTTGTCCCTTGTCCTCCTCAAGTCAAAGCTATTGGTTGCAAATGGGTCTATTCTATCAAGCTGCATTTTGATGGCACTCTGGATCGGTATAAGGCCCAGTTGGTTGCCCTTGGCAATAAACAAGAATATGGGGTGGACTATGAGGAGACTTTTGCTCCCATTGCCAAAATGACTACGGTACGGACTGTCCTGTTTGTTGCTGCATCCCGAGGTTGGTCTCTTCATTAGATGGATGTCAAAAATGCATTTCTTCATGGTGATCTCAAAGAAGAGATATACATGACCCTTCCACCTGGTTTGTCATCATCTTCTTCCTCGGATGTCTGTAGGTTGAAACGATCATTGTATAGGCTGAAACAAGCTCCCCGCGCCTGGTTTGATAAATTTCGCTCCACTTTGCTCCAATTTTCATTTCAGCAGAGTGCATACGATTCTTCTTTATTTTTTTGCAAGACATCTCTTGGCATTGTCCTTCTTCTGGTTTATGTTGATGATATTGTTATTACTGGCACAGACTCTAGCTTGATCACCCGACTGTAGCAACATCTTCAAGCCTCATTTCATATGAAGGACCTTGTTTGTCTTACATACTTCTTAGGCTTGGAAGTTCATACTGATTCCTCTGGCATTTTTTTGAATCAGCATAAATATACTCAGGATCTAATTACATTGGCTAGTCTTCAAGATACTTCTTCTGTGGATACTCCTATGGAAGTAAACACGAAGTATCGTTGGGAAGAGAGTGATCTCCTTTCCGACCCTACTATGTATCGACAGTTAGTGGGGAGCTTAAACTATTTAACCATTACACTTCCTGATATTTCCTTTGCCGTTCAACAGGTTAGTCAGTTCATGCAGGCTCCATGTCATCTACACTTAGTTGTTGTACGTCGTATCATTCGATATCATTGAGGTTCTCCTAGTCGTGGCCTATTCTTCCCTACTGGGACTCCTCTTCAGGTTGTGGCTTACAGCAATGCAGATTGGGCAGGATGTCCTAATACGCGCCGATCTGTTACAGGTTGGTGCATGTTTCTTGGTGACTCTGTGATATCTTGGAAGAGTAAGAAACAAGATCGCGTGTCCAAATCTTCTATCGATTCTGAATACTGTGCAATGTCTGTTGCTTGTTCTGAGATTCTTTGGCTTCGTGGCGTCCTTGTTGAGATTGGTTGTGTTCAATCCGATCATACTCCTCTACAAGCTGACAACACTAGTGCCATTTAGATCGCTGCCAATCCCGTCTTTCATAAGCGTACCAAGCACATTGAGGTGGACTGTCATTCCATTCGGGAAGTATTGGACACTCGTATCATTTCTCTTCCTCATACTTCTACTGACCTCCAGATTGCAGATGTGTTTATAAA